GGCCTCAGCTTAGCAATCATGTATTGGTTATGTAGTTTCTTATACAGATTTATTTGTTTTGTGCGATGGAGCCCTGAATTGATTTATACAATCTAGCCTATTTTTCTAGTTTAGTTCTGTTCTAAAGTGGGGATGCTTTAACTGCAGCCCAAAGGCTGGTCCGTCATCGAGAACAGTTCCGGTAGCCTTCCCTTTGTACCCGCTACACGGAAGTGGTCGAGGCGTACCAAGCTTACTCGCCCAAAGCTTCCTCATACCTTGTTTCTGGTACTTACTTTCTGCAAGTATCTTATGCTGATTATTTACAATGCTGATTCTGGTAGATAACTCATTCTGTATATGTGTAGGAGGATGAGAAAAAAGCTCATATCGTTGAAGTAGATGGACCAAATCCTTTTACAGCAGCTGTCCCCCCTCCCTCTCCAGAAGCTGTTGCAGAGGAGGTTATCTGAATTTATATAAAGTTGCTCATTGCTTGATTTTCACATATGTTCTGTAGCTAATTTTGTCACATATTGTTTGGTTCTGTGATGGATAATTCATTGTTTGTGCTAGTTATATTGTTCTATGAGGGGGAGAATGTTGTGACAGTTTTCACTAACCACCCGTGCTGTATTGCATTCCATTTGTGCTAGTTAAGGGGGTAGTGACCCTAAGATGGATGGGCTACAAGCTTTCAGTTAATTTGTGGGTAGTGGGTGGCCTAATTTTTATGGTTCGCAAATCCTTAATGTCTTGATAGTTTCCAGATACTAACTTGCTGCATTGTATGTTTGTATTGTCAATTGATGAAATCATGGTTTTAAATTAGGAGATCAAATAGGGGATACCTGTATCCACCGTTCTCGATGCTGTTAAAGATAAAATGAAAGCTACAGCCCAGTCCGCAGATTCCAACCCAGAAAAGCTAAGGAAGATGTCTAAGTCCATCGCTTTCCTGAAGGATGTCCAAACAGCATTACATCTTGGTCGTGTTGAGGTATAAATTTTTATATTGCTGTGTTTTGTTGTTGGTCTGGTTAGAAACATCTCACTGTTTTGCTTGGGTGCAGTAAGCCAGAAACTCCTGAGGCTTGTCATCTTTCCTTCCGAGCTGATTTCTTAAGGTAATTATGTCCTATTACTTTTCTACTGTTATCACGTGTTAGTTACGGAAAGGTTTGCTTCTGCCACAAAATTCTTGGCCGGTATTACTACTGTTCTAAGTCATGATCATCAGTTGTCAAGTATCTTTAGTGGGAGCGAGTGATATTAGCAACCTTCTGTATACGAGGATGTATGAGAACAGTGGCTGTCATATCATTATCTCCATTTACTCAAGAGATTTGAAATCCTACAGTGTATTCGATAATATTAGTATCTTTAAATGTTAACTCTTGACAAACATGTTTTCTAACTAGAATTCTCAATTTGCAACTGTGTTTTGTATTAATTCTTGTGTATTCGATAATATTAGTGTCATTAAACATTAGCTCTTGACAAGCATGTTTCTTTGTAAATAGTTCTCTTTATTTGCCACTCATTTTGTATCAGTTCAGTCACTAATTTGTGTATTATTTCAGGATCTCATCTGTGTATACATGTTGGCATAAAGGGCAGCTGTCTGGCCTGGAAGACCGACGAGATTCTCTCTCTCTTTTTTTTTTTGTAAATGTTACTCGTAAAACTTGTAATAAGAATAGAAATAACTGGTGGCTCAGGACTTGAGGTCCGAGAGTGGGAGGTTGGGCGGCACCACAAACTCAAAAAATATACTGTATTCCATATGTTCCATTTCTTAACATTTCTTATTGCTGTCGTGGTTTCATTGAGGTTAACATTGTACTAGTACAACTATTTTCCAACACGTGTTGAAAAAAGCTGCAATTGTTTGTTAAGGTATATGTTTATTTCAGCCACCCTGGTTTTTTCTAAATGGTTTGTAGCTTTTGGATAGACGTGGTGCACAATCACAATTTTTTGTTTTCCTGTCTCACCACTTTGCTCTAGCCTGTATGTTTATGTATAGGTTTTCAAAATCTCAGTTAGAGCTTGATCAAGAAATTGTCCAGATAAATCCATAACAAATTGTACTCCCTCCGTTCACTATTATAAGATGTTATAACACTTTTCTGATTTGGATGTATATAGATCTATTTTAGTGTGGTTGTTCACTCATTACAGTTCTTATGTAGTTTATTAAAATATGCAAAACATCTTATGTTTGTGAGAGTACTATTTTAACATTTGCAAGCTGCTTTAGTGTCAGATAACCTCCGTTGTATGTTGTAGGTACTATCTTTTCAATCATGCTTTAGCCACTGAATAGTGGTTCAAACGGGATGCCATGCCCACGTGGCGAATACGTGTAGCACTCAAAACTGTCCACAGCATGAACCCATCAGCATAGACAGTTTGTGCACCTCCTTCGCATTTTGCGACCATTCATTCCCGCGAGGACTACCTAATGTCATCCCCTACCTTGACTTTCCTATGTTGATAGGTCGTGATGGAAATCAGAGAGCCAACCCACGAGCTAAAGGTGGATACATACGAGCAAAGGTGGAGGTTAACAGGCCTTGTGCCTAGAGCGGGATGATGTCGATAAAATCACATTTCCTAATTCCTAACTATTTCGAGTCTCGGGTGGACACTGAGAAGAAAGATAAAGAGAAGAAAGTTTTCTAGTTGTCTGTTGAAGCGTATCATATATTCATAAAAAAGAGTCGAGATGACCGATACAACGGTTTTTGGCACAGTGTTACACCAAGAGGTTAACAACCACGTCCACCACGACGACACCGGTACACTACTCACCTTGTCCAAACTTAAGCTAGGAATGGTGAAGTGGTAGAGCACAAAGCACATAGACCGCGTCACACCCATAACCGACACCTCAGAGCGCGACAAAACTCCAAACCAAAATAGATCAACGCACCTTCACTCATGACGCCTAGGAGATCGGCATCGGCAAGTGGGCAACAGGAGATAGCCTGGCTCGAGGAAAACATCGCAAATGAGGCGTCGATGTCGGAGTACATTGCGCCGTGGATGCTCATGCCCACATCAACAACCAACACATGACAATGTGGCGCCCCAAGCCTCACCGCCGAGGCAAATTTGCGAGTCAGTATTGGAGATGCCCTTATAGAATTATCTCTCTTGCTTTTTCTCAAACATGATTTTACTTCAATCATTCATATATTGTAAACTATACTTTCTTTTCCATTTTGTTTTTATATATTTGAACTCCTAGCGCCAAGACCTTGAGGACAAAGCTTGGATACATTTCAAACACGTTTAAATTTCAACGTTTAAAGTCCACTCATTTCACCCAATCCTGTGAAATATAGCTGAAATTGAAATTTGATATTTGTGAAGCTCCTTATTTCAATGATTTTTTCGAGAAGTTGCTTATTTCATTCCATTCATTTAAATGTCAGTTATATTTCACAAACATCAGTTTCTTAAAATGAGTGAAATTAGTTTCTGAATGAGTGAAACCATTTTTTTAAACGAGTGAAATTTGGTTTTTGAAATAAGTAAAATCATTTTTTTCTAAATGAGTCTAATCAGTTTTCATATATATGAAGCAGATTTCAATGTGAAATATTTGAAACTCGTTGTTTCAAAAATATTATCTATTTAAAATCAGTTTTTCCAAATTTGTGTTTTTTTAATTGAGTGAAATCATACTTTTGAAATATGATATTTGTGAATCTGCTTTCTTTAGTGTCTGACACTGATATTGCTGAAATATATCACTAATATCATGTTTAAATGTCAAGTATAATTCACAAATATTAATTTAACACACTGAAAATTCATCTATATTTCCAATCGTAAGAACATTCAACATATGACAAATATAACTCCAGTTTCTATGCAGACATCTGTATTGTAATACCTAGCAGCCCAATTGCCCGGGACAGTCGGTTAATTAATTTACATCGATATACCATATGGTAATGCTATTAATATCATAAGTTTGGAGTTAGTAACCAAACCATCTCACCGGAATGAACATTTGAACCATTTGAGGTATCTGGCATCTCCATGTGTCACGGCCAGAAATGTATTTTATGATTTTATCAACCAGACCATCTGTTCTTGACTGACTCAAAAGGATGCTAAGGGATGAATTTCTGTGGTTGTGCATGCTGATCGAATGAAGTTACTAGTAGGCTCAAGTTACAAGCACACGCTCTTCAATTCTATCTCTGAGCTGATCCCCTGCACTTTCCATACTTAGCTTAAGATCTTGAATGCTGTCGAGCTACTATGAAATGCTACATCTGTTAAATTTTACCCCCTTTTTTAACATTATGCTAGTATATTCAGAGCAATGTCGTCAAGAAGCTCAGTCCACAGATCCATCGTCGCTCTCCAAATTACTTTGCAAGGGTTTGAATGCTGCCAGAAGAACAGCAACCTTGTTCGCCAGGAACCCTGCAGCGCCAACAAATAGCTCAGTCGGAGTCAGCTCGAAGCTGTCACCACCAGCACCGTACTTCAGTGCAACAGCCCCAGCAACCATTACAATCGACAATATCAACCATGGCCTTCTTACGCCGCTGAAGTTCAAAGTGGGCTCTGAACTGCTCGCTTCTGAAGGAGAACTAATTGCCGGTAACCCGTCCACAGATCTTTGGAGCAGCAATAGATACAGGAACCCTCCAATCCCGCCGACGAGGAACGAGTAGGCGGCTCCATCATTCAAAGCCAGAGTGAAGGCAGAGAAACCTGTTATAACAATAGATATGTCGTAAAGCAGCAAGGATTGCTTGAGATCAGCATACTCCCTCAGACCATCTTCCTTCAATTCCTTAATGCTTGAGGCTGTCTTTGCTGAGGATAGCTGTCCCTCTTGAAGATCAGAAATGCTAATTCCTGACAGGTCAGTGACAGCAGTAGGCCTTGCTTCCGCTACTGAAGCTCCATCCTCACCAAGCAGTGCACCTAGCTTGTCGAACGTGTACCGTAAACCGCTAAACTTGGGCTCAAGTGTTCCCTCAAGATCTTCAGGTGTATTCCGGGCTCCATGGATCACTTTCAAACTTAAACCATCTAATCTCCATGAACCTGATCTTCAACGGTAATATTAAGAAAATGAAGGAAAGAAGATTTTCATCAGGTGAGGTGGGTAGATTAATATAGTAAGGACTGGCACATATTTGCACAGAACAGACAACTAGGTGGATACTGTACCTGATTCAAGGCCGATCCAGATTTCTTTAATTGTTTGCAATTTGGGACCTTTAAAGGTGACGATATCAACTGAACCACTTTGAAAAGGAAGGAATTGTAACGGCTTGGTGACATGTGCAGGTTGGTCCCCATAGATTGCTGGTACTCTTTGTAGCAAGGAGTCACCGTCAACATCGATTAAGCAGACTAAGATCGCGGAGTTCTTATCTAGCAAAGAGGAACTAAGTTCTCTACTTGTGCACAGCTCTAGTATGTAAAAGGCATCAGATTCTTCCAATCTGAGTTTTAATAGTATCTCATCAGGGACACTATTGGGAAATGTTTTTGGTTCCACTGTGGGCAGAAGACGAGATGGCTTTACAGAGGCCACTGAATCTGGACAATGCAATGAAAGGTAAAAATTCAGTAATTTTATAGTCTGAATGTTAACAAGAATTAGTTTAGGTTCAGCCACAAATTCAGAATTTACATCATAACAGAGGGCATGGCATAACATGTGAACAGTACTGCTACACAACATTTTCTGAAGGCTAGGCCATTAAGACCATCCGAGGGTCTGAGTAAATACAAGAAGAACGTTTACTCGAATCATGATTTACATGATTCACTGTGAAATTTCCAAAGAATATATTGCTTCCCAAGGAACTACTGTAAATTTTCCAGCATCCAAAGCAGGCAAAACTAATTTAGCTACAGAATGAGGTGTTCTGCTTAATATCTATGAGACATACCTTGTAACGAAGAACTTTTCGCGTAAGTAATTATCCGCCGACGTCTGTTTTGCTTTCTGAGTTTCGTTGCGGTTGAGTTGAGAGCGTAAGGCATTTTGGGGCTGTTGAGTGATAACCATCGAGACAGAAATTCAGAATGAACCGAAGGAGCAGGTTGGGCAGCACAAAGGATCACCATTTCGCTGTAACAGGATGAGCAACAGATAGCATGGTGTTACACAAATAAGACATCGAAGCCTGTGTGCAAACATGATTAATTAGTTCAAAACACGCATACACACACATGGAACAAAATCAATAGCAACCATAACAGAGAACAAAACTAGTGTATACTGAAAGCTGTTCATAAGCCATGACCAAAATTTATGGGACGTGGAACTATAAAGAAACCCATGAACAGGGCATATTCCACACCCAACAACGGAAATGGCAGTTTACATGCATCCGTCGCAAATTACGAGTCAATTTGAGTTGCTACGACGCCAAGAAACCGAGACCACCGTACCAATCGACAAAAAAAACTCAAACAATTCAGAGATTCTCCGCGAATAAATTACTACTCCCTCCGTCCGAAAAAAAGCTTGGGACCAAGCTTGTGCCTTAAATGGATGTATCTAGCACTAACTTGGTGCTAGATACATCCATTTGAGGGGCAAGCTTTTTCGGACGAAGGAAGTACAACTAAAGTAGCTCAGCAAGACACTAGCGAAACTAGGACGAAAGCTAAAATATCTGAATCTGAACTTCAAAAGACAGACCAGGGGGTGAAAGGCGAGGCTCTCCGTACCGTACGAGCTCGGATCTGAGCCGGGAAAGTAGGCGAGATTCCACGGGTGGAGTGAGGAGTTTGGCGGGCAACGACGCTGCCGTGCGGGAGAGGGGGAGAAACGAGGTAGCGGTAGTAGAGGAAGATCTGGGGAAGAAGAAGAAGAAGAGTACAAAGACGACGGCTTCAGTTGCGTCGTGAGGAAGGGAACAGAGGCGTGCAGCGCAGGGGAAGCTACTTGCGACGGGCCAAATGGGCCACGAAAGGTGTCGCGTTACGGGCCTGTATACCTTTCCTTGTGCGCTGGTTTCCATCGGGAAAATAGACCACACGTTCGCTGATAATTTCTGAAAAAGAAAAAACACGTGCGCTGGTGTTAAAAACATAATAAGCGATTCGCAATGGATCCCTCGAGGGTTGAGTTCGGAATCTAGTACATGGGCAGCCCGATCACACAGGAACCCTAACCCTAAACCAGCCCGCCAGATCGGGGCGACCGCCATGGACGAGGACGAACCGATGCCACCAGTCGACGGCGATGAGTCCGACGACGACGCCGCGGAGCGCCTCCCGGACTCGACCTTGTACAAGATCCTTACCCTCCTGCCGCCGTCCTCGGCCACGAGGTGCAAGGTCGTCTGCAAGAGATGGCGCTCCATGATCTCCAGCCCCTCCTTCGTGCGTGACCATGCCGCAGCCGTGCGCTCGGGGGACCCTTCCATCCTCCTCTTCGACGGCGCCGCCCGCTTTCCGGGCAGGATCGTCGACGAGAACAGGACGGCGAGGCTGGCGCTGCGCCGATGGAGGGCAGAGCCCACGGAGGGCTACGGCCTGCAGAACTGCTGCGGCTCCCTCGCCTGCCTTCGGAACGGACTCGGCGGGGCCGAGCTAGTCAACCCGGCTACCGGCGACTGCTTCCGTCTTGGCGGTGACAACGACGTCGTCCGCGACCGCCGCACGCGGACGGGATCCGACCAGCTCCCCTGGTACTGCCTCGGACGCTGCCAGGCGACCGGCGAGTACAAGGTGATGCGCTTCGACGTCCGCGTGCCCTACTCCAGCGCCCCGCACGTCACGTGCGAGGTCTGCGCCCTCGGTGGCCGCGGGGGCCAGGGCCTCAGCCGCATGTGGCGGGAGGTGGGAGTGTGGAATGTGAACTTCTGCCCGAGCGATGGCGGCGTGCACATCGCCGGCGTGGTGTACTACGTTGCTAAGTTCTTGGGAGGACCCTTTGTCGTCGCCTTCGACCTTACGACTTACCAGCTGCGCCACATCGACCTCCCCGCGGTCGACGACGCGGTGGCGTCGCTCTCCGAGCTCGAGGGGCGGCTCTGCGCGTCGCTGGTGCCCGCTGGGCAGTGGTGCGGCGACGGCGGGGTGAACATGGACCTGTGGGTGCTCCGCGACGGCGGCCACGACCAGCACGAGTGGATCCACAGGTACAGCTTTGAGCTGGACGGCAGCGCGCGGCACATCCCGAGGCCGCTGTTCGTAAGCGGCGGCAGGAGGTTGATCATGAAGTGCGCCGACGGGTCGCTATGCTCCTACGACGTTGCCGGCGGTAGTGACGACGGTGCTTTCTTGGTATTCCAGCACAAGAGCGGGCAGCGGATGAGAGGCGCCACCGCCGACGTCTTCGTGGAGAGTTTGCTACCCGTGCGCACCATCCTGCAATCCTAGGCACCGAGGAGAAGTTGACGACAGTTTATGTTGCATCGTATTTTTGTCAGGTCATCTTATTGTGCTTTAGTGGATCAATCAACTATAAAATGAGAAGTACTACCATCTCTATGCTAAACTAGTTTTTACTGTTCATTTAAATATATTTAAACTGCAAAAACATCTTATATTTTGATACAAAAGGACTAATACCGTTGAAAAAAATTGTTTAAAATTATCTGTTTCACACAGTGAAATGATCTTGACCATATTTTCCATTTTCAGAAGATGCATTTCAATTTTAAAACATACATTTCAGAAAGTAATTTGCAAACTGAAAGTGCATTTAGCCCTTGACGACATTTAGGTGTTGATGACAATGGTGTTAGGGCATCTCCAACGCCGATCCGCGGAGCTTCTGCATGGGTCTGGACCGCGCTATCCGGACAACGGAAGCCATCCAACGCGGGCCTGTATCGCTCCGCTGCGCAGTCCAGACGCAATTTTTCCCG